TAGAATTGAGCTGTCAAAAACACAAAAGACCTCGCTAAATACAGCGCTTTGGCAATTCACAAGTCTCTTATATGATCTATTAGCTTAATTTAGTGTTCGTGGCTTAAGCTTATTGTCGTGAATCTAAGCCCCAGTTGGGATAATCCACTTTCATTTTTACTATAATCCCTAACTACCAGTGATTTTTTAATGTAAGCATAAATTCTCTCTATTTTATTATTTAACATGCCAGGTGCATATTTATTTATTTTTTATATGTAAAAATAGATAAAAAACAAACATAAAAAAAACAATTAGAATGAAAAAATTACGCCACGAGCGGAACTTGAAGCGGCACCCATGGCGATCCGTGTTGCTACTCCGTTGCACTGCTGATGCGGCTTCAAGTCCCGCCCTTGTAATATATTTTCTAATCTTAATAGATTTTCAATTTATATAATGTCATTAGGTGTTGTAACGTGTTTTGAAATGTAAGCTTAACTTAAGTAATGATGAATTTAGTCTATCAAACAACTACTTTTGTTTTTAATATATTTCGATATAGTAGTCCCACTGCTGGGACTAACATATAATGGTATAAGAGCCGGCCAAATTCTTCTTATATTATACATAAAGGTATGTAATTTAACTGTTTCTGCGAAATCGTACGCGCATTATATACTTAAAGGCATCAAATTTTGTTTTTTTTTTTTTAAAAAGCGCTTTAAAAATTAGAGTGTTGCAGTGGTCCTTTATTGCGAGTACATATTATACATAACAAGGTGACATGTAATTTATATTTAGACTATATATATGTTTTTGGTATCTTGAACCATTTTAACGACGCACGCGACGAAAAACCCTTTAAATATTTTTTTTTTTTTGGTTTTTTTTTGGAATTTGGCCGTTCCAAATAAACACATTTTATTTAAATATGTGTCAATATGTGGTTAGTTAAAGTCTAGTATATATCGCTTAAGTGTTTTTTTAAAAGTTTATCTTGTAATCTTTAATACCCCCTCGGGGGCCCCCTTGGTTAGCGCAAAAAAAACGGGCGCCGGCGGGCCCCCCCCCCAACCCCCCGGGGGGGGGGGGGGGGAAAAAAAAAAAAAAAAAAAAAAAGATTAGAATCCAAGACAAATTTAAGCCTTGTAAGCCACACATAAAAATCAATTCTAAAAACCTATTTAATGATTCTGTGTCGTCCCTTCATTCGTGGAATGACCGTTCGCGATTAGAAGTTAAGATAAAAAGGGACAAGTTGTTATGACAATAGTAGAAATAATTTGCTATTTCTAAAAACGATAAAACAACCAATAGATGTTATTTATATGGTAGCGGTACCTAGGTGACCACCTGTTTTGGGTCCTGTTACAACCAATCATTATTAATTTGGAGAAATTTATATGTTGCGCAAGTTTCACGTGGAGCGTTAGCAAAAAAGATCAACAAACAAAAATATTAAACACTCAAAATGCACACAAATTAGCTATTCATAATTGTTCTTTAGTATTGTTAATAAAAGGCCTATTTAAAATATAACTTATAAGTATAAGTTAGGGAAGTCCCTGTTTAATGTTTTTAAAGAAGAGATTTTTTATGATAGAGAAAGACGGGCAAGCATTGAGTTACTTGATAATATGCCACAGCAATATAACATCACAAAAAATTGGTCGACACCACATCTTGTAGTATTTTGGCTTTAATAAATCACTTTTAACGGTTTAAAACGTGAATTTTATAATTATTATTTTTATTGTTTAATACATTAACTATATAGAGCTAAAATGACAGACAGTCTAAATTTAGTTTCGCATATATTTTGCTATCCGTACACAAAACATGGGCACGCACGACTTTTTTGTCGCTAAACGCTACGGCCATCTGGTAAGGATTTTTTCTAAACAAAAAACGCCTGACCCTTTCTTGCCTTTGTGCTGGCCCTCGTTTTTTCACCTACCCTCAATATGTTGAATTACCGTATTAGACGATTTCTATAGGACTGATGGAAATTTTGATTGAACTGAGTAACGGATTGTACCAACCGCTCCTTTGAGCTGGTTTTATGATCATTAAGCGGAATAATATGTTTTCAATAATCGCAATTTACGATTAGTCGTACATGTGCGTTCACCTGAACGATTTTAATTCTTCTATGTATGTAAAAAGAACAATATCCTCACTTACATTAATTCTCCTTTAGGTTACAATGCCATTGAAGCTACCGAATTTATATTTTCAGATTCCCTAAAACCCAAGACCTCGTGACCTGCAGACGACTATGCTAACCAATGAGTCAGCCACGTCGTTTAGAACGTAGCTAACTTGGATTGATGTACAACACTTTTAACGGTTTAAAACGCGAAATGTCACCACGGCAAAACTTCCGGTTGTAGTAAAAGGAAGTAAACGGATGTATTTCGCGTTTTTTAACTCTCGTAACTCGCGTAAACTACAGTAGATAGCTCACTTGGATAATTTTCAACGATTATCAATGACAATCCTCTTCAGAACGTTTGAGTAACTAATTACCGTAGTACCTGTTCAATACAAAAGCGTTTTTAGAGTTTCGTATCCAAAGGATGAAAATGTTATGTCTGTAACGGCTAGAACGTTGAAAGTTTGACAAAACATGTATTTAGGTTGAAAACATTAATATTTTTTTTCACATGTTGTTGCACATGAAGGCACTATATAATTTTAGAATCGAAAATAAATTGAAAAAATTTTTGTCTAATATCCAGATTGACCATCCGATATATTTCTGAAAAATCATAAATTAGAAATATGTGGGACCCGAGGCGTCCTTGGACCGAACCCACGACCCGTTGTTTAGTAGCCAAGCATTGTTAACATTAACCAACACCATATTCTCGTTTATTGAAATTAATGAAATCACATGAAATTACTAAGACACGGTTACGATTTCACATCTTATGTAACTACTGCTGTTTATCTAATTAATAGAATAGAACCCTTTACCAAAGTCCGACTCGCGCTTGGCTTTTTTGGTAAACTACCCTTTCACAGACAAAAACGTAATAACCTGCAATAACCATTATCTTAATTAAAATTACATTTCCGAACCGCGAACAAAATTGAAATCCCTGAGAAATTAAAGAACGCTAAAGTTTAAACCGTTTGTATAGCACTTGACGCAAGTGGCCGTAATCTGTCTGAATTATCAAAGCCAGAGAATTTCGTGATTCCCAAGTTCAAACGCCCGCCGACTCTAGTGCCAATCGAATGGAGAAAAAATGTTGTCCCGCCCGATCGAATGAACGAATGAACGAACGAAATATCGGTACGCGGATCTCTGTATTGTGCGAAATGTTCTATATGGAGCTTTGTGCAAGCGGGGGCTGATGGAATGCACTTATGCACGATTTGAGATATAATGGCGCATTCTTTGTGTGATAATATTGATTTTTGATTTCCGTTAGTGTATCTGAACGTTGGGTTCGGCGAATGTTTGTTTTGTATGCAGCTGGTTGATGATTTTTATTGCATAATTGCCATCTTAGAAATCAAAATTATCAAAGAAATGATAGTTTTTAAAGGTAAGGCTTCAAAATGAATTCAAGAAAGATATTGAGCAATAGTATTATGTAAATCAAATGATAAAAAAAAACTTGCACTTTAAAAATTATGAATACATTCACATTAATATACTTTAGTACATATTTGAACAGTTTAAAAAGCAAAATATATCGACTTGTTAAATACGAACCGACGTTTCACAGCTTTACAGCAGCTGTATACAAGGGAGTATAATTAGATAGACAGTAGCTTAATATATAAATTCGTTTATAGTTTTAGTAGTTTTAATTAATTAATTAATATATTTAAAACTATGTAAATGTTTAATTAAAATGTATTACTTGCGTAACATATTAAAAAAAAACAAAATGATTATAAAAGATAATTTAAACCTTTTTTTATTACGATTACATTTTACTTTTGTTCTAAGCTTTAAACGATTTCAAAGCGATGGTATTGCTGATAAATGGCTTATTAGTGATTAAATATTCTGTCCTAAATAATATTTATAACGTCTGATGATGCCGTCCGCTCGTGATGGCGAAACGTCGAGAACCTCTTCTCGCTTACGTCGGCCAAACCGCCCGAAAGACAATGATATGCTGAACGATGGCTGTAAAAGCCTTACCCAATTTATGATTAAATATTGTTTAATATAATGATATTAACGATGAAGTAATTGGTAAAGGTTGCATGCTAAACATCCCCCATGGCCTTCGTGACTCACCAGCCATTTCGATGTTGTATTTATCGGAACATTTCGTGTGACACGCTGCAGACGCCGATATTCGACGCGCGACTAACAAGGGTGCAACTTTTGAATGTGACAAATGCCAAATGTTTTGGTTATATGACGTGTCGGTGAAATAAAGCGATAAAGGAATTTCTTTAAATATTGACAGTAGTTTACGCGAGTAATACGCATTTAAATAATACTGTTTAACGATTTAAAACGCGATATGTATTAGTTAAACTTATTTGTAAATTATTTTAATTACGGCCCCAATGTTTCGGATGCTCTGCAGCAACTGTGGTCACGAGAAACGTTGCTGTACGTGATATATATTAAATTTGTATGATAGAGCAATATTCTACTTCAGCGTCCTCATGTCTATTTAATTTATAGAGATCTATAACTATTAGATCAATGTGTCTTTTGTACTTAGACGTATAACCGCACCCTAACGAGTAGAACGAATAGTAAGTTGGGCAGAGGCCACAGGTCACACGTCGTGGCACGGACGTCGCCGCCCCGCCCTCGGACTAGATGGTCTACGCCGGTACGGACAGCAAAAAAGTTATGATATCGTAAATCATTCTGTTCTGTGGCCTTCTAAGTAAATTGATACGTTTAGAAATCATATGATTAGAAACGAAGCGTTAGAATTTAATTGACCGTTTTTTTTAGACATAATGTCAATATTTAAAAAATCCTCTATACCTTCATATATATAGACAAATGTTAAAGATGGTATAGAAAAATGGGTATTCAGAGTTTTTCATATTATGGAGAGACCAAACCAATATCCTTAAAGGTACACCTCTTTGACGAGAGAGTCAAGCGTCATTGCGTAGAGACGCTTGGGTCTTATGATTTTGTATTTCTGCTAACCGTACCTCAAGGAAAATACTTAATCCTATTTTTCCACCCTTTTGTCGAGGGGTGCCGTGCGAGGCGGGGACGGGACGAGCGTGGCCTCTGGCTAGCCGCCCAGGGCACCTACCGCGGACCTGCGCATTGCCACCAAGGTAACTCATAAATGTACCGTCAGCAGAATGTGTGTGAAAACATAATGAGCCTTCAAATGCAGGCCTTTGTGTTCACTTGCTGAGAGAAATGCTAGCTTTCAACATTATTTGAAAGCTCACACAAGTAAGCTGTGTTTTTGTGTGTATATTTAGACTAATATTTGATTAACGAGTTAGTTTCTAATTGTACGGTGAGCGATGTCATAAAGACAATAATGTATGTTCATATGATCGATAAAATATATTTTTTTTGTAACTCACTCTTATGTCGAAACTCAACTCACTGTAAGAATGTGTGATTGATTTTTAATAAAAAAAAAAACTTATTTATATTGTTGAAAATTTCGAGAGCCCCGGCGGGACTTGAACCTTGTACCACAACGACTCATGCTGCTGCTTTATCAGCTTAATTTATTTACCATGTAAAGGTAAAGTGAAGTAGGGGTTTTCTTACCCCAATATTTAAATAAAACACTTTAACGGTTTAAAACGCGATATATTATAGTTAAACCTGTTTAAAACTTATTTTATTTGGTCTCCCCGTGACTACGGCTGCTGCGAAGCATTTGAAATGTTGGGCCGTAGTTAAAAATAATTTTCAAACAAGTTTAACTAAAATATATCCCGTTTTAAACCGTTAAAGTGTTTTATTTAAATGTGTACTACTCGCGTAAACTACAGACAGTATTTAAAACCCCAGTAGATTAACCGTTTTCTGTCAAGATTCTTGTATTCCCAGGATAGGAATCCAGGACCACTCTTGTTTAACGTTCAGAGGCTGTCTAAAGCTTCACGCGTATGATAAACAATAATGCAAAGTTCGTTACAAATAAAGTGAAAATTACATGGTAATCTATTGTATTATTATTCAAATATATCTATTTTTTCTTAAACCGGTTACTATTGTTTTTTTGCATTGTAAATTATACGGTTAATATTTTAATTTAGCAAAAAATACATGGGGTGGTAAGTTTTTTATTGTGCCTGCGAAACCGCGATAAAGAGACGTTGGAATGATTTACTTTTGTACTCTGCTTTATGCGCAAGAGTTTCATTATATTAGGCCGATAGCTAAGGTAGTCGAAATTTAAATTTGCTTGTTAGTACATTCGTAGTATCACTAACCTAATTTCAAATGTACTTAAACCTCATAACGATTGTGATGTCTACACATTAAAATTATATAGATATTTTAAAAAACACTTTAACGGTTTAAAACGCGATAAATTAGTTAAACTTATTTGAAAATGATTTTAACTTCGGCCCGACGTTTCGGTCAAATAAGTTTAACTTATATATCGCGTTTTAAACCGTTAGTGTTTTATTTAAATGAGTACTACTCGCGTAAACTATAGACAGTATTTGATATAAATAAACGAAGTAATCTTTACTTGATCTCTCTTATACTAGCACTGTAGAGCTAATAATTATCAAGTCGTTCCCATCAATTCAAACGTGTCTCTGAAATATTTTTTATAATGTTAAAATTTGTCTTAAAAGTTTGCATTTTAGATGGGTGATGAGAATATACCACCGGCGATAGATGGAAAAATCGTTAGGTTTAAGTTTCGGCTTCAGTCTGATTTCTGAATGTTCAATGATAAATATAGCCAAACATAGGCCGACAGCGTACCTTGATTGCTTGATTGCGGTATTTCAACTTCATTGAATGCACAAGCATCAATGAAAAACAGACTACATTCTTCTCTGTCATAAAAGAAAACTATCGGTGGCAGGCATATCAGGCATCTATTTTAAATCATCTGCATTTGTTTGTGTGAGCTAAGTCATAGGGTGTAAGTCATCACGTTAAAATATATGCGGTCTGCAATATATTTTTTTGTAGTATAATGTATCTATCATTCATCTTTAAAATATAATGACGGTAGTTGTTTTTTTTTCTAGCGATAAATAACTTCCTACTTGTCCAATCTTAGACGGCCGTGGCCGTAACGAGCTTTCGATTTGGTCAACGGAGCACCATAATATGCTATTGTATTTTTCTAGCTTCTTTAACATACAAACAGTTCTTGTAACTGTTATATGATGTATCTGTTTACGTGAATGCGTCCCCAATGTGGGGCATGGGGTTTCTGTCACCACTGATGATTATTAAGTCTTATCCCCAGGTATTGAATTAACGAAAATTAAACCACGTTTGGGGCATTGAGCGAACACATTTCCGTCACTCGTTGGTGCGTTACCGTCAAAAATGTGTTGTCCCCCGGAAAAAAAGAATAGATAACTTTGTAGTAAAATAACTAGGCTATTTATGTTTAATCATTGTTTGAATCTATAAACGTGGTGGTAGGTAATAATTTGTACTTAATTTTATGTTACTTCAATAATAATTTAATATTATATACATCTAAGACTAAAATTGAGATAATAAAAAATAGTCCCATTTTTATTTAATGAGTTTATTGAACATAGGCGGCAAAAATATCATCTTTTCACGGAGTTTGAATTCAGTATAAACAAGGGCCCAATATTAGAGTCACTCAGGGTGTGAAAATGTATCGATCTTTATAAAACAAACTTTGGGCATTAAATTTATTTTTGCACACCCCTTTCCCCGCCAAGATGAATATTTTTCTCCGTTTTATACAGCCTTCGCTCGTATTTGTCGCAGCGTGATGTTATATAGCCAAAAACCTTCCTAAATAAGTGGTCTTCCCAAGACAAAATATTTTTTTAAGCAAACAAACTTTTAAGCTATATAATATTAGTATAGCTTTTCTGCACCCGACTGTACACAACTGACCTCGAATCTCAAACCAAGAAGTGCCATTACGCGTCCACTAAGGCCCCGAAGCGCAACCGAAGAATTGAAATACGCTAAGATGATATGCATCAGTCACATGACACGCGTCAAGTTAATGATCTCGCCGCTCTGCTGCCCCTCAAATTGCCTCCAGACCATTGCCTCGTGCTCATGCCATGACACAACGGTGCTCTGTCCGAGGCTTCCGCCTAGATGACATCTGCCCGACGATTCGGAAACCTACTACTAGTCTACTCACGTAAAAGAACTACTAACTTGGTCCGGTTGGTTGAAAGAAATTTTAATACTTTGTCAAAAAATTGCATGATTCGTGGGTCCGATCCAACATTTTTCGGATCAATTTATAAAATACCCCAGCTTATAGCATCTAAAGAAGTTGCGCTGTCGACCTATTTGGGCTTTGGATATTCGGAAATCCACAGATTGAAATCGAAACGCGATTGAACTTAAAAGCTTTTACATCTGTGGACCCAGACGGATTTCGATATACCTTCACTTCCAACATGTTTCGGAAAAATTATAAATAGATTAGATAAATGTTGGAACCGATGGGATCGAATCCACGGCCCGTTGATTATTAGCTATCAATTGCTACCATTACACCAACGAGCCCATCACATGTATAAATATATCTTTTACCTCAAAATAGCTAGAACGTTTTTAATAATAATCTTGTTAACAGGCCACCTTGTGTCAAAGTTGATTAGCGTTCTTCTTATCACCTGACTACGTACCTCACACGATCGATATCAGATGATAATTAAAACAATCAACAAGGAATGGTTTATATGCCAGAATAATATCTGGTGTGCCTCTACAGAAATTAAGCATAGGTATATATAGGTATAGTTTAGCTGCTAGGCTGTCTTTTCTAAAAATTATTAAGAAAGACACAATATGAGACGGGTTTGTTTAATGAGTCTTGAGTTCGATCCCCACACAGTCCAACATGCTTCCAATCAATATATAATTGTTGGACTTCTTCAGGAAATACAGGTATTAAATAGGTGGTAGGTAGGTAGATAACGGTCCACAGATAAAATAAACTCTATACTAGACCAAAATGTAAATTCTTGTATCATACCTAATCGTAATCTGCTATGGATGTTTAATAAAGAATAAAAACGCGGGAACAGGATAACGCCACAGATAAAACACCGGCGTTTCCTTTGACCACAAGCCTATAAATAAAACGATTCTTCGTCTTATCAACGTTTTCAAATGTTGTTTAATTAATTTGTTAGTAGGTGTCCTTGTTTAATCTGTACTAAAAACAATGTGAATCTTAAAATTTTGTTTATATATTCTTTTAGTAAATGTATAGGAACCAAGGGTGATATAGTTTATTTATAACATACTTTTAGCTTCAATAAATTCTATTTACCCTCCATTTTGACTAACAAACTAAAGTCCATACTAAAAAGGAAAGTAGGAAAATTGAATAAAATACTTTTAATGGTTTGAAACGCGAAATGCATTAGTAAAACACCTTTACAATTTTTTTTAATTATGGCCCGATGTTTCCAATGCTTGTGACATTGAAACCGTAAACTACAGACAGTATTTAAATTTAACTACAATAGATGAAATGCTTATATACTTATAATAAAACAATTAAAATTCAATATTTTGTGGTTCTATGTGATTTTTAATACTGTGAAATAACAATCGTGTTACCATGGCAACGGGACAGTTTATAGTCCCGTTGCCATGGTAACTGTTAATATAGTATACATATAAACAGATAGCAAGAGACTAACATCGTAATTAAAATCATCAGCATTATTATAATAGAAAATGATTGTTCAGTGTGTCCGTCTGCATCACCTGTGATAAGCGTATTTGTTTCTCTTGTTTGACATTGATAAGAGTAATTTATACAGGCTAGTTAAGCCTTACGTTTTATTATTTAAGATAGACGTCCTATTTACTGAATAGTGACGATGTGTTTGCGGTCTCGAGGTTGCGCAATTGTGTATTGTTACCATTTCATGACAGACACGAGTGTATATGAGGCCGTTAGAGGCAGGGTAGCCTAACTGCAACTTTATGACTTATTTATATGTTTATAGTGTCAAAATGTTAATCTACAAGAGCACAGTGACATAACATTGTTAAAAAGTCTTACACAAAATGTTTATTTTCCTCCATGTTGAAAAATCATGATTTTTGTTATTGGGCCGGGCCACTCTGCCTCTAGCTCCCTCATATATAAGTACAAAATTT